CACTTCCCAAGTGTAACACAATTCGCCTTCCAGCTAGTGGATACCTCTGGTGCAAAGGGCAGCCTCTTCTCTAAGCTATGGCAACGGGCAGAATTATATCCAATGTGTTTCATGTCACTGAGTGGGTGAAAAGCATCCCTCTCTTGTCCACCTTACCCTAACACTGTCTGTACTGCCACTGCTAAGTCGCTTCAGTCGTGTCTGACTCCGTGCAACCCCATAGACGGCAGCCCACCAGGCTCCCCTGTCCACCGGATTCTCTAGGCAAGAATACTGGAGTGGGTTGCCATTTCCTTCTCCAACTGTCTGTACTATTACACGATAAACAAAGAGTTCATGCTGATCAAGAAATATAAGAGCTGGAGGTTGGAGATCAACAGCCTAATCCTTGTGCAGCTACAGCTTTTGAAGAATGCTGCATGCTTTCAGCAAGGATTGCTTAAAGCTTTGGTTCTTTAAATTTTACTCAGTAAGGCTATAATAATCACTTCTTAGCTTTTTAGCACACTGTATGGATAAAGGTGCTTGTAAAAGGATTTTAGCTTTCTAGAATATGATAGAAAAAAATTAACTCACATGTTACTTTTAATATTTTACCCATTTTCCCCTCACTAAATGCACATGTCCTCAACATCCCAAAATATCATTTAGTTTAGCATTTCTTATATTTCAAAGATCCTATTTTGTACTAGGGATATAATTACACAGTATTAGATAATGTTATGAACTATTTAAAACCCTTCCTAAAAGGTTAAAACAGGCCATGAACTATATCCAGGGCCAAGTCTCATGAGGCTGTCAAAGGCTCTTTTATAGATCATTTAGAAAGATTAAAGAAACCCACTCTACCCATGAGAATCTCTGGTCAGTCAATCTAAGATCCTATTAAACATGAAAGAAACCCTTATTTCCTACTTTCTAGCTATGAATTTCTCTCTCTCCACAAATTTTATCACTGGCGATTTCACTTTTAACTTTTAAAACTAGCTTTCATACTTATTATCTCATTTCATCTGTGAATGCTAGTAGGAGACATATATAGAAATGGAAATAACAGCTCTCTTGTTTCTCTCAGTATGGTCGATAGTCAAGACCTCACCTCTCTCTAAAATGTCAAGTGTACAAAAGCAAATGACTAGGATGTCAGGCAAAGGAGCAGAGGAGGGAGTTGCCATGGAGAGGGAATGGAGGGGACAGAGAAAAAGGCCTGTGATGCAGACCAGAAGCAATAAGAACAATAACATTTCTCAGTTAAATTTTCAGAATTCATTTTTTAATTCTTATATGGCATGGGAAAGGAAAAAACAATCCAATATATTTGGGAAGATTTTAATACAGTGTCTTTATGTAGTGAAAGATGTATATCCTTCTCTGCATTATCACCAACAGCTGAGGATCCTATTCCCCAGATCATGTGTTAGCAGGGATCTCTTCTCAGAAATAAGCTGCTCAGATACTATGTGGCATCACATTGAGCTACCAAGGCATACTGTGTTAACATCTTTTAAATCAGTGTATATATCGATGAACTTTCACAGAAATGTTTGTTTATAAATTCTAAGGACAAAATATACACCTGAGTGGTGAGGATATGTATGGCTAAGATACACTACAGATAAAATGTAACAAAGGGAAATTAATAAAACCAAGAATGACTACTGAAAGGCCATTCTTAGTGGGAACTCAATAAAGCAGAGTGCAGACACTCTGAACCCTGGAAAAGGAAATGGCAACCCACTCCAGTATTCTTGCCTGGAGAATTCCATGGAGAGGGGAGCCTGGCCGGCTCTAGTGCACGGGGTTGCAAAGAGTTGGACACGACTGAGAGATTATCATGCAGCCACTCGGACAGTTTGAAACTATGCTACTGTGTAAGCGAAAAACAACTTCCCAGTTATCTCTATGAACAATTCCATGGTTTTCTTCAGAAATGAATCTTACTTAGAAAGGCAACTAACAAACTCTCTTAGTGCAGTGAGAGCTTATGATGGTAGGTTGTTACTAAGTAGCATTTCCCCCATTTAACTCCACACTTGAATAATTGAAGATACTAAAGAAATCAGCTACAGAATTTAAAAAACAGATTAGAAATGGGTTAAGGAAAACAGATTTTTAAAGGAGTTGACATCTTGTGTTTTAAAAGAATACTCATAACAGTCCTTATTGGGTAAAGTTGCTGCAAGGTGGGAAATAATTGGTTATACTCCATAAAGGAGGGGTGCATGCTCAGTCGTGTCTGACTCTTTGTGACCCCATGGACTGTATCCTGCCAGGCTCCTCTGTCTATGGAATTTTCCAGGCAAGGATACTGGAATGGGTTGCCATATCCTACTCCAAGAGATCTTCCTGACCCAGGGATTGAACTCATGTTTCTTGAGTCTCCTGCATTGGCAGGTGGAGTTTTACCACTGGTGCCACCTGGGAAGCCTCCATAAAGGAAAGAACTAAATAAAACGAGTCTACCATCCTGTGAAAATTGTGATCTTCAGAAACAGAGGTGGTCACATACAAAACTGTGTGAAGAAGAGGCTGCAGTGACTAATCGTGATCTGAAGAGATTCTGCACTTTTCTAGGTGGGGAGGGGAAGTGACTCAAAGCATTCCAGAGACTTCCTGAACAAAGCAGCATCTTCTTCCTGTCCAGGTGCTTCCCTCTCTATTTGGGGCGTTTTCTTCCAACCACCCTCCTTTCCAACACCCTTCTTCATCTTTCTTCTCCCTAATTATGTGTCACCTTAGATTTTCCCTGGGTTCTTTATAAATAATCCAATTGCCTTCAAAATAATAATGTTGGAATCACCCACTTAAAAGTTACTTTTTCCTAATAAAATTTCTACTGTAGTGTTTTACTAAATCTGTCTATTTTTGTAAAAAGACTTCAGATAATAGCTGAAGAAGCTAAATGACTTCAGAAGATAGCTATAAATGGTGCCAGCAAATTCAGAAGAGGCCTGAGATGATGATAAGTGTTTCCACTTATTAATTTCTTACCACGTGCCAGGCACTGTTGTATGAGCTTTTGATATATTATCTAATTATCATAACAACAACCCTTTAAGGCAGGTATCATTTATTAGTGTCATTTCACAGTTGATGAAATGCAAGCACAGATTTATAGGCAAATACAGGGCTTGGCAAACCATGGTCCTTGGGTCAAACACAGCCCTAAAGTTTTCTTGAACTTCTACACCCTTTCACTGACATAGAGTCTGGGGCTGCTCTTGGGCTACAGTGGCAGAGTCAACAGTTAGGATTGACAGTTTAGGGCCCAGAAAGCCTAAAAGAGTTACCATCTGGCCCTTTATAGCAAAAGTCCACCAATCCATAGTGCAAAACATGGCTAATTCATTGATAAGAAAAAAAAAAAAAGACAAGAATATTTGGACAGCTTAGAATAAAACTTCTGCTGAAACTTTGTTAGAAAATAAAAATTTTTAATGTAAAAAATTCTGTTTTAACCTATTTCTTCCATAGATAGATCTCTTATTGTATTTTTTCTCCCCTGAAGTTTGTTAACTGGCCTCAGAAAAAAACAAGTGTTCATAGAATTCCAGCTCAGACACTAAAGGTTTCTCTGTCAGTATGGCGAGTTTCAATGTAGTGGTAAAGTTTCCAAGAAAGAAACAAAGAAAAAAGGCCAAAGAAAGCTTTGACAACCATAAATTTCCTGAGAGGTTTCACAAATTTTGGCAGTTTCACAGGTATTTCTCCTCAAGTACAAGTGACATCATTGTTGAAATTCAAGAAACAATTGGCCGGGTTTACTCTACATTTGGTATCACATATTGTTTTGGTTGAGCATCAATTGATTTTTTTTTCTATTTTTACTGGGAAGTTATGTCATAACTATTTTTAGAAGACTGTCTGGTTTGATCATTTGTGGAACTGAAAACACAATTGTGTCCGAGAATTTTTTTCCCCCTAAGGCTATAAGAGTTTGGTGGAGAAAGCCCTCATCAGCAAATATCCCACCAGTTTATTCTGAAATACATTTTAAATTAAAAATCTAAAACAGGAAATGGGCACAAACACATGAAAGAACCTGGGATAGTACCAGGCAGCATAGGGAGTATAGCTTCATAATGTATCAACTTGAAATATAATATCATAAATTGTTGAGAACTAATTAGCATCTGAACTATTCTAATAATCATCATTTTATCCTTAAAAACCTAACTATAATCAAAGTCAAATTAATAACTGGATAAGTCAACTATACTCCAGCACAAAATAAAAATTAAAGAAGAAATAATACAGGGAAACAATAATCATAACAAATTAATAACTGCATTTCCAGAGTCTTGGATCTGGTACCTGAACTAAGTTCAGTTTGCAGAGAGTCAAATAATTTATGTGAATTGGTTTACTATCAAAGTAAAAGGTAAACACCCAAGACCAAGTCCAGGGTTGTTCTCTCTCTTTCACCACCTTCCCCTAAACAGCAACCAACACAGAAAACAGCATCAAACAGTAATTCCCACGCTTGTTTGCACAGAAGAATCACCTGGGGATCTTCCACCCCCCTCTCCCGCCAGGCCACACCCCAAACCCAGAAATCCCTCTCTGTGTCTCAGCGCCTGAGACACAGGCGCTGGTAGCTTTGGAAGCTCCAGACACTAGGAGACAACTGTGATTAAGCTGAAGATGACCCAAGGGGCTCAGTCAACACACCACTGACACCTGCAAGTCAGGAAGCTTGCATCCTGTCTGTCTGTCTGCCAGAGACTCACAGATCTTTGGGGCAGGAGTCACTAACACAACACACCAGGCACTTGATATCATCATGCTTGCTCCCGACACGTAATCAATTCACGAATGCAAACACTGAGGATCTTGACCCAGTGATAATTGCCCTAGTGCTCCCTCTTAAACGATGCTCTGTTTAAACGTTCACACCATCTGAGCCTCTCAGGAGACAGCGGGCTTCCTAAGATGCCCTTTCCTTAAGGATACTGCTCCTGCGGGACAAACTTTAAACCCCCGCCCACAGTGCATCTTACCTCTACGATGCTCTTTAAATCTTGCACGTAAGTCCGTTCGGTCTCCAGAATTTCCTGCACAACCCGGTCCACGTAGAGCAGCTTGGGGCTGGTGGCCGCTTCGGCCCCCGTTTTGGACGCCGCGTTGGCTTCCACTCTGCGCTGTGCCCGGGGCTGCCGCTCGCCGCCCTCGTCTGTGCTCTGAGGCCCGGCCGCGCCGTCCGTCTGCAGCTCGCTGCTGGAAAACGGCCTGGCTGGCATCAGCTCCAGTTTTATGGCCCCTGCTTCCTTATCCTGAGGAAACAAGCCCAGGTGGCTGCTTGAAACTAAGGTCATTCTGCTGCCGAAGGAACCATGGCTGTCCCGGGAGGAGGCCGAGGATGACGTGGAGCCGAAGCTGACCGGGCGGTCACTGTCGGAGAGCTCCATGGCCCCGTGGTCCCCGGAGCGGGAGTGCCTGGCCGTGGTTCTGAGATACGGAGCTTGTGTTAGAGCTGACCGCACTTCAGGACGCAGCTGGTGCGCATCTGTACACGTGAAGAAAAATAAATAAAGGGACAAGATAAGCAAGGTAGGCAAGTATTTAAAATTAGAGGAAACAGAAAGGTTTGAAGGTGCTTAAAACCTAGCTCAAGGGACACAGTCAAAAGCAAAAAGACAGCAAGCTAGGTATAGACGGAAATGCAAAGATACCCATGGGACGTTGAATGGCAAAGGCGGAGTTTTTAAAGTGTCTCCTGGAAATGCGTCAGACTTAAAAGCCTTTGGCGCTACTTTAGACCTATTGAACGTCAGTCTGCCTTTCACCAAGACGCAAATGCCATGTGCAAGCACTTTAAAGTTTGAGAAGCAGCACCTGGCCTCAAAGCATGAGCACCTGAGTGATAGAGCAACTAGTCCAGATTTACTAAGTCAAGGTCAGCGCTCAGGGCACAAGGAATCTACAGCTTCAACAAGCACCAAGGGGATGCTTATGTATTAAAAAACAAAAACAAACCAACCCCAAAACAAAAAACCACACATCCTGTGTGATTCTTAAGAGTAGTTTGAGAACCGCAGTTCTAGATTTTAAGTATTCCACTACAGTTCCACAAAACTTTACATTACCAACCTGGACACACCACTACTTAATGAGGCTGACAGTTTTACACTTTACTTGTATATAGCACTAAAGAAAGTGTTGCCTGGACAATAATTCTCCAATACTGGGCAAGAAAACTCAAAATATTGAGACCCACATCCCCTTTAAAACTTAATCGTCCTATCACAACACTTCTCTAAATCTCTAAATGCCAATCTAAATCTAAATGCCAAGCTGGCATTCCATTTGCTGTGTACATGGGGTTACACTGTTACAGAGTATATTTGATGATCTACTACTTTCCATGTATCCAGTTAGATAACATGACAGTGTGACCATGCAATTAAATAATAAACATCAGAACTGTTTCTAAAGAAATCAGGCTGCTAATATTTAGAAAAGGGTATAAGAAGAGAAAATTTACAAAGTCAGAGGTCACTTAAAGTCTGTAGCAACTTAAATCTTGGTTTCAAAACAGGCCTGGCATGGAATTTTAACTTTCAGAAGCTATTCTGGTAAAAGACAAAGTTCCAATCTTCCTCATTTGTAAGGCAGGCAGGATCCACACTTTATCACCCTAGTAATGTGATCCCAAGTTTATACAAGCAAAATGCCTTGCAATAGTGTGACTAATAAAGAAATTTGCTTCATTTCAAAATCCACCCAAATCCATGTTTATAGATCTTGTTAGAAAAATAGAGATGGAAGGTTGTAATAAGACAAATACAATAACAAGAATATAGATCAATGACTGTCTTTTCAAAAGGAATGTGAATTTGATTTGACTCAATAATAAAGATGATCAAACAGCTGATACCAATATTTCTAGAATATAAAAAGAACCCATCAAGTCTATATCTTTTAACATTCAGACTTTTCTTGGTGGTTTATATTCATGGCAAATATTAGCATTAAGAGTGTATTGCAAATAGTAAAACTATGAATATAAAATAAAGGAACTAATGTGGATCAACAAGAAGGAATGGTAAGAAACATGCAGGAAATAAGTAAATTACCAGTATAACCACTACCACATGGTATATTTCCACAATTTTTTTAAAAGTTTTTGCGATATTCTGCTTTCTCTGTAACAACTTTATGGCCTATAAAATTTGAATTGGTTATAGTAGTTAAAATGTACTTGTGTTAAAAATCCTGGTCCAACGTGAACGTTGGAAAATCCAAGAAACAGCCAGGCATTTTTAGGTGTGTTCGCAGCAAAGGATGCCTACTCATGTTTGGGACTGGTGTTAAGAAAGGCTTGGGCAGGGCTTTTCTGGTGGGTCAGTGCTTCAGAATCCACCTGCCAATGCAGGGGACGCAGGTTTGATCCCTGGTCTGGGAAGATCCAACATGCTGCTGGGCAGTAAGCCCATGAGCCACAGCTACTGAAGCCTGCACACCCTAGAGCCTGTGCTCAAGAGAAGTCATTGCAATGAGAACCCAAGCGTGGCGACTAGAGAGTAGTCCCAGTTCTCTGCAACTAGTGAAAATCCCGCGCACAGCAAAAAAGACCCAGCACAGCCATAACAAACAAACATATATATGTGTATATTTTTTTAAAGGAAGTCCTGGGTAGTTAAGATTAGGAGCAGACACATTGGCATCTATCACAACCATAACCATAAGGTTGATGTTTCTTTCTGGAATGGGTGCTGACTTGGGAGGTATATGAGGATTCTTTACGGTCCCAAAAGGCCAATGTGACTACGCTGTTGTTGTTCAGTCGTGTCCAACTCTTTGCAACCCCATGGACTGCAGCACACCAGGCCTCCCTGCCCCTCACCATCTCCTAGAGTTTGCCCAAGTTCATGTTCATGGTATCAGTGATGCCTTCCAGCCATCTCATCCTCCCTTTCCAGATGCTCTGATTTTCAGATGGAATAGTATCCACCCCCCCCAACTTCTGTTTGGTCCTAAGTCATAGTCTCATTTGAGAAAACCATATTTGATAGTGACATAACTCTTGGGAAATACTCATTATCAGGATGGTGAAAAATGAACATAACACAGAGACTTATATTTTGTTTTGCTTTTTTTATTTTTTTTACTTATTTCACTCCAAGTTAGCCAACCAATATTGGGACTGAGGGATTAAAGAGGAACAAAAAATTGCCAGATGTTTTAGAGGCATCCACTGTGGGCTACTAGGGCTGCTAGTGTCTTTTATACTTTCAAAGACAGGAGGAAGTGGGACATGAAACTCAAGTCAACAGGATTCACTTCATGGATGGATCTTACATGGAAACATGAACTGGACCCTAACAAGGAAGACTTCATATGTTTCAATACCAGGCCACGTGCTCTAGGCCACTGAATCAGCCTATTCAGACTGCCAACCAGACATTTTATAAAACAGAATATATGAGGTATTTGGAGTGCTAGTATTTAGCCAAACTTACTGCCCCAAATTAAATACCTTCCAAAATTACTGATGACAGAAGTGAAACCTTTAAAGCTAGGTCATTTAATGGCATGTAATAGGAGACTGCAGGTGGATAACAATTTTTCTGTTGATTCATTGCTTAGAAGATAATTATAGTTTTCTCACATAAGGAAATGTTCTTAATAAAAATTGTCTAGTCTTGTTCTCACCTCCTTCAAAATAATTTCAGATTTCCACCCTGTCTGGCTTATTCTTCCTAATACAATTAATCAATTATTAATATTTATCTCCAGAGCTACATTGTTCAACATAGTAGCCAGTAGCCAGTCACACGTGACTATTGAGCACTTAAAATGCAGCTCATCCAAATTGAGATGTCCTCAAGTGTAAGTGGCAACCCACTCCAGTGTTCTTGCCTGGAGAATCCCAGCAGCAGCAGCAAGTGTGAAATATACGCTCACTTTCAGACGGTAAAGAATCTTCCTGCAATATAGGAGACCCGGGGTCGATCCCTGGGTCAGGAAGATCGCCTGGAGAAGGGAATGGATACCCACTCTAGTATTCCTGCCTGGAGAATTCCATGGACAGAAGAGCCTGGCAGGCTATATTCCATGGGGTCACAAAGAGTTAGATAGGACTGAGTGACTAACATATTTTCAAAGATGTAGAATGAAACAAAAAGTATAAAATACTTCATTAATAATTTTATGTTAATTACATGTTGGAATCATATTTTGGAAGAGTGAGTTAAAAGATCTTAAAACTTTTTTCACTGACTCCATCTTACTTTTGAGAATGTGGTTACTGGAAAATTAAAAAATATATACATGTCTTGCACTCTATATCAGCTGGACAATGTTGATCTAGAAATCTTCTAGTGTGTGTGCTCGGTCGTGTCTGACTCTTTCGATCCCCTGGATTGTAGCCTGCTACACTCCTCTGTCCATGGGATTATCTAGGCAATGATACTGGAGTGGGCTGCCATTTCCTTCCCCAAGAAATCTTCTAGATAATTATATTATTCTTAAATATTTATATATTTAATACTCATTGGTTTCCCTAGTGGCTCAGATGGTAAAGAATCTGTCTGCAATGCAGGAGACCGGGGTTCCATCCCTGGGAAGGAAAGATCCCCTAGAGAAAGGAATGGCAACCCACTCCAGTATTCCTGCCTGGAGAATTCCATGGACAGAGGAGCCTGACGGGCTATATCCATGGGGTTGCAAAGAGTGGGACATGACTGAGCAACTAACACTATTTTAAATATTATATATATTTGATACTTAACTTAACTTCCTTATCAATCTTTGTCCCAATAATAGTGAATGAAAAGGTATGTACAATTTGAAGTTTATCTTTTTTCACTCTGTTCATTAATACACAATGTTGTTATGAATTAGCAACAACAGCATTTTGAGACAAGTGCTGTGTACTGGATATTGGGATGGCTGGTTTCCCAAGATAAACTGAAACACCCAGGGAGAAAACTGAAGAGCAAGAAAGCTTAATCCTCTGCTTTGCATGAAAGATGTTAGCACCTATGTTAACACTTGGGTAATTTATTGCTTTGCTTTGCTTTCCTTCTCAAAACCTGTTTCTCTTACCAAATCTCAAACACAGGGCTAATAATATAGCAACTTAGGAGAACTTGCCAGTTGTTGCTAATGGCCCATGTCAGTGGCTTTTTTGACCATGAAAACCCTAAATAAGCTGATTTTCCCAGCTCGAGGGTCTTGGTTCATTGGACCCTTGGTAAACCTGGTGATGGCGGTGGTGGTAGCACATGGCCAGGGGTGGGGATGGGGGTTGATTCTTACAACCAGCAGTACTGTTGTTACAACCAGCTTTTAGCCTTAAAGGCCATCAACATAAAAATATTCCTTCTTGTGCCATCCTCAATAAAATGAACAATGTGGCTGTCCAGCCCCACAGACACTTTTCACACATTTTGCTTCATGGCAAGTCTCTAATATTTTTTCCAGGAGAAAGAGCTCAAATTCCTTGGCTTTCTTTGCTTGCTCTTCGAACCTGCATTATTTTAGTTGCCCTCCTTTGGAACG